ATGTTATATTTTTTTGAGACTCCTTCTTTCAAAACCATTTTTTATCCCAACATCCTGTTGTTGGTTATTTGAAAATGATGATATTTTTGTTCATTATCTATCTTCTTGCAAAATTAATCTATTCATTCAATTAATCCATTGCTTTCTTTTCTGGCATTCGATTGCTGAAATATTGAATAGCAAGAATTCAGCAAATTTGAATCGAAATTTCTAATAAGAACGTGTACGTTCAGTACAGGATGCGCAAAAATGTTATTTAATAAATGAAACTGTTTAAGGATCTTCAACAATAAAATGAAGTACGTGAATAGGCCTAACAGGAATCAATGTAAACATCTAGGTTTAATGAAATTGCGGTGTTGCAGTTCAGCGGCTTGAAGAGCAATTCTAAAATCTTCGTCTAAATTGATAATGTTTTGGTCCGTCAGCAAGGCGTTTGCATATAATTAGGAGATTTCGTTAACAAAGTCAATGAAACACATATCATTAACCAGTCAATAACGTCAAAGATATATTAACTTTTGGGGCGTACGCGACATCTTCCAATGTTTTATGGTAAATTCGAATTCTTGACACTATACACTATGACTACACAATATGACTATACGCTATGAGTATACACACAAATAAAAAGTATTGCGAACAAAAGAGAAAAAAGCAGTGACTATCATTTATTTCCTCACTGAGATCGCAAATTAATTTAATCTGTTAATTCGGCATTGGCCGATCAAGATCTCCAATCTATCATCTAATATTCATCAAAGAAAATGTAACTCTTTTCAATGACTACTTCATCAGCAAAGTCTTTTTAACAATTCTCCCCATTTTGATGTTCATGTAATTAAATAAACACCATCAAGCAGTTTGGTTTAGTTCACATCACAGATTTAGAAGAAAGGCTATTTTTCGCGAAATTTGCTTGTTTCGAAAGACGGATTTGGATTCATTGTCAGAATCTACAGAGCATTATTCTGAGATGTATAAATAGTGGAATGTAGTGGACCAGCCTTCAGTTTTCAAATGGACGGCTTGGCTTTAGATAGTCCTACGCCACATCCATTTCATGTGGATATATAAAAAGGTAATGTTTCAATCTGCTTGTCACAGAGTAAAGAATACATATTTTCGTAGTACAGCGTCATTTGTTACAACTGAATTACAATACTTCCCCAAAATGCAATAATCGATATGATGTTTGTATGTTAGTGAGTTTATCTTCGTTCTAATGAAAACGTGACATAGAAATATCTAGAGCCCAGCTCTTCGTATGTATTTATTCCAGAGCTAAGGTCGCTTCAAATTATTTGCCGATTTTGATAAAGTGATGGCTTCATAATTGCAACGAATGCGTTGTTCCGTGTCCAGAGCTGGCAGTCGTCGCACGCAGCATGCACGTAGAGACGAAGAACAGCGGCGCAGTGCGCAGCGCGGCGGCGGGCGACGCGGCGGCAGCCAGCACGCGGCCCACCCCGCTGCCGCCCATGCGGCTGCCGCGCCCGCGCCCGCCGGCGCCCTCGCCCTCGCCCGCACCCGCGCCTTCGCCCGCGCCCTCAGCGGCGCCCTTCGCCTCGCCCGCGCCCATGGTCGCCGGCCCGCTCCCGCCCCCCGCCGCCGCCCCGCTGCGCGCGCCCTTCAAGATGGAGATCGACGCTGACGAGGGACCGGCGCCCGGCCCCGCGCCCTCTCCCAAGCGCCCGTCGTGGCCAGCGACCGGGGCCCTGTGCGCCAGCGGCTGCCGGGACCTCACCGCCCTCATCAGGCTCTCGTCCACCAGCCTCGCCGCGACGCAGCCCGCCCAGCTCGCCCCGCACGCGCTGCCCTGCGCTCAGGTGGGTGCCGCTCCCCCTTCCCCCTCCACACACAGCCTCCTCCTGACCGCGACATGCGACGCAGGAGGAAAAGTAGAGAGATATATAGAGAAGTTAGCGTACGAACGGACAAATTTGACAACAAAAGATTGTCGTGCTGGACGACGGCATTGCAAAATATCGTGCCGAAGGCATTTACACGCGAGCCTACTGCAAACGAACGCATTAATTAATCGAGTACATGCACATCACCTGCACTTATGCTGCCAGCAATAGCCAAACAGTAGTTGTCAAATTGGTCCCTTCTTAAAGTAATTTCTCTATATTACTGGACGAGAACATATCCTCTGCATTATCGACGCATCTTGGAACTTTCCAAGATAGTTGCATTAGAAAGTGGACAAAAATCAAATCCGATTCCACCAAAAAACAAGTCTTTAAATGAAGCGCTTGCTTAAATATCACAAATCAAAAAAATAATATATTTATGGTATGAAAATACTATTCCAACGCGTACTTGTTTCTGTAAATAATAGAGACCAAATGCCATGCCTCTTAAGAAAAAAATATAGCAAAGTGGCTGAGCTCTTCAATTTTCCTCAAATATACTCTTTTAAATTCTCAATAATAAAAAGACAACTTTCCAAACTTAGGGGAAGTAATAAAAAAGGTGTCATTGTTAATTGTTTCATACCTCTTTAATTTATGTGAAGCCTTTTGACAAAATACATAGTAATTAATAATAATAGTAATAATTAATAATAATACATAGTAATTAATAATAATTACATAGTAATTAAAATACATAATAATAATAATAATAATAATAATAATAATAATAATAACTACTCGTATTTTAATATGACTGTGTGATATGAATCTGCCAAACGTAAACACGAGAATACTTATTTTTGAAATCGACTATGATTTATTAAAACTTGAATTAATTTAAAAAAATCTGTTTCTATTTTTTCTTTAAATAATTTCATATTTTTTCCAGTTTTTGTAGTAGAAGTTTGAAATTTGATGAAAAATGTTTGATGTTTTGCAGGGTACAGAAAGTGCTTATGGCCATCTGGCAGCTCGAGACCTGTGTTCAGAATCAGACTTCTCCATTTCTCCCAGCTTCTTTGTTAACCAGAATACAAATAATCGTTTATGTTCTATTGAGCACAATTTCTGTATCGGTTCTGATGACTTACCACCAAATCAGGTAAAGTATTGATTAAATATGTTCGGTTATTGTTATGCTAGTTACAATAACAGAAATACTAATATAATGGGGTCAAATATTGTTATCTCATAGTTATGCATTGTATGGAAAAAAATCAGTTAAGTCTTTGTTACCTTCCACTATACAAGCTGTGAATATAGTGTCGTTTAGTTGGGTTTCTTGGGATTAGATAATGGTAAGTCACCGTAAGTGACTTTTAAAAGAGAGGCAATTGAAAGTTAAAAGAATTCTGAGTGTCTGGTGACTAATATAAAAACATATTTAATGTAATAAAAGATACTACATACAGTACTCTGTTACACCACTTCCCCAGCGGCTTGTCAATCTCTGGCCGAATCGAAAGAGAAAAATGTATAGTAATTTTTGAGTGACTTATCATTATTTATCTCAAGTGCTTCAATTACCGTCAAAAATCATGTAGAATTATCGATATTTCAGGACGTTTGGTGTTCGTTTCCGGTCGAAAAATTTCGGTTTTGAGAAAGCATGAATTCATTGCTACTTCCGAACACTCAAATCAAACATTCGGCGCTGTACGGAGCTGCACTGCAGCTGCACTGCGTTCAGAAGAGAGGAGTGGGATCGGCGGCAGCGCCGGCACCAGTTGCCTGCTCCGTGTCGCGTAGGTTTGCCATCTTCCCTAATAGCTGTCGGGGCTTCTGCTCCGAGACCTCTCGCTGCAGCCTTCATCCAACTATTCCGCTCTTTGTTGTGGCCCAGCTGCAGCTCGTGCCTCGGTGAAGCGTAGAGTAATTGAATTGCGCGCGCGGAAGAAGCAAGGTAGCCCTCTCGAAAACCAAACTTTTCGGCGGAAAACTGGCGGCTCCAACTTCCTGAAAAACCGAGAAGAGTCAACATGTTTCATTGTCGGTATAACTAAGAAGCACCTGCATTTTAAATTCTGGACAAATAAAAGTATTCGATTCTGTTAATCGATTATTCCATGTCAACTAGTAATGATATTACATTCATCATAACTAGTACGCATAAAAAGAACTGGAGACAAACATTATCATTACTAACTTCGTTACAGGTGGTGATGACGCAACAAAATTCAGAGATATTAACATCCATGATAGAACATGAAACTGCCAATCATGAATTATTAGACATTCTCGGAAATGGAGTTGATATGGAAGGAAATTACAACAATTCCCTTTCAATAGCGTCTTCTAGTCCAGTTATTCAGAATGATGATGGTGAATCAGGTACGTAATCACACATTTAACTTAAGAACATGATGCTTGAATATTAGCTAGATGCCTATAATTACATTTCATATCTCCATGATAATTTTTCCCAATTCAACTAGTTTTGATTTCCCAAATTTTCTAGCATTTTAAACAAATATGAAACTCGCTTGATACAATATTGAAATTTTAAAAAAATCTGTAATCTTATTATGGAATATTTCTTCTTCTTCAAAAGCGATTCATTAATTTATTTTAAAATTGTGTAATATGAACAGAGATATCGTTTTTACTCAGAGTGCAAAATTGTGACAAGCTAATTTCCTAATTAAACGGTTAAAATAAAACTTTCAAGGCAAATAATTATATCTTAGAATTATTCCTACAACATTATCGTAACAATCATTACATCACGTTACTCATTTTTACTTTCCCGGCTTACTATGTACATACGTAGCAAAATAAAGTATTATAATGCTGCAACAATTTTTTCTTTAATTTTTACCTCAGATAGGGCAAAGGAGGCATACAAATTTCACTGGTCTCATTTCCGTGGTACTTTCTGAATTTTCGAAAATGGCAAATATTAAGAGCGATATAATAATGCGAGAAAACATGTGTTGTTGTAGCAGCACTAGTTGGTTTATAAAAATGAAAGTAATTTAAACAAATGAAACAGATAAATGGTAATATTGTTTTTTTCTTCACTCTTCGATTCGAATAATTTGTATACTTCTTTTTTACTAATTATTGTAAATATTCTTACAGTTGGAGGCTTCCTTGAGTGTCACTGGATACACTGTTATCAACAGTTTCCGAACCAGGATGCTCTGGTTCGTCACATAGAAAAAATGCACATCGAAGTACGAAAAGGAGGCGATGCATTTTCTTGTTATTGGCAAGGTTGTTCACGGCGTTCACGGCCGTTCAATGCCAGATACAAATTATTGATACACATGCGTGTACACAGTGGCGAGAAACCCAACAAATGCCCAGTAAGTACAAGAATACCTTCTCTTATGTCTAGTAAAGTAGGTTTATAGTGCGTTCAAATGAAAAAAAAAACATTAAATAGCTATTGATATAATTATTAAGTATAATGGTAACCAGGGTTTGTTTCCTTTTGCCTTTATTGTATAGTACACAGATTGATGATACTTCAACTTTTCTCCTTGGACCCAAATTGATATTTTTCATTTTTTGAGCGGAAAATGTAATGGAATGTGTGTCAAACCCCAAAATCATTGTTTTTAGTGTCAGGTCTCCCGAAAAACACTTTTCTACTAAAAGAACATAGCTTAAGAACAATAATCGACGTTTTTCTCGTGTTCCAACACTAAAAGTAAACTTTCGGAGGAATATACGAGCTTTATCCGATATTTCACACCCAAACAGAAAAAATAACGGTTAGGTCTCTAGCATCTGTTTGCTCCCCATTGTATTACTGCAAATTTTCGCACTGTGGCATTTCTACGAACTCACTGACATCTAAAGCTATAAATTGCTGATGAAAGTGAGTGTGATATAGTCTGAATTTCCTCTTTTCTCTTCTTCCGCGCTGCGCCTACGTCACACGTTCACTTTATGGATATTTGTCATTTGCCAAATTTTTAATCATGCCATACTCAATGTCTACTAATATTATCAACATTTAGAGTACTGAAATATACCGCAAACGTGAAACACATCCAACTTACTATTATGAGAATACTTGTATGATTGTATCAAATATCAAATATATTCAATTTGTTCGGTGTTATAAAATTATTCACACTATGAATATATGGTATTTTATAAATCATATTGAATTTTATTCTCATTCATGTGAAAGATCCATTCGTAAAAATCATGGCAGTCTAACAACTATGCCATAGCTTATTAAAGGCATAATGTTAGTTCATAAAACGATCGTAGAAAGTTTTCAAATAAAAAAAAAATATGAAGAAAACACAGCATATTTCAACTTCTGTACACAATTTCACACGAATTGGTCTTGATCCCAAGATCAAAACAATAGTAAAAGTAGACACATGCCGCATAACCACACAAGTAATGGTGCTCAACGACGCTCTTCAATTTTCAGTTACTTCGCGCTGCAACATGTAATTTTTCTTAATAATCATCGATAATTCTGCAGTGACATCATCAAAATTTGAAGCCTCTATTTGGATTTCTCTTCTGTCAGCCGATAACTTTCAAGTAGACAAAAGTATTATTCGGACAATAAATCTATAGAGCTATTGCGTTGTAAAGAACTTCTAACGGTGCCTACCCCTAACGTGTGAGAAGACGTGTGTGAACTTTTCATATCAAATACAAGTGAATCATTTTTCGATAATAATAGTTGGAGTTCAGAAAGTGCATCTGTACTACTATTTAAGTGAAATGAGAGTAAATATCAGTAAATTGGTAAGTGCAGTATCTAGCAAAAATAATTGCAATACCTGTAAAAAAATACTACGTGTTACTTGCAGGAAAATCTAAACAGCCATTTCAACAAATGGAAAATTAATATTATACATTGAAAAGAATTATTTATCCTCAAAAGTTCATAAACAACCATTATGTATGAACGTCAAATTCAACGAACATACTTTAACAAATACCTTTCCTTTGTTTAAAAAATAAAGCAATTTCAAATAGTTTTATTCTTTAAAATTTTTAATTTTTCTGTCATCTATATGTTCAAATTTTCAATGTACACAATTTTTCATTTGCGTTATGATTAGTTTTCAGGATGCCCGAAGGCCTTTTCAAGACTGGAGAACCTGAAAATCCACCAACGTAGTCACACTGGGGAGCGTCCGTACTCGTGCACTTATTTAGGTTGCACAAAAGCATTCAGCAATAGTTCAGACAGAGCCAAACACCAACGAACACATTATGACACGGTAAGCATGGTTAATTTCAAAGTTAGAAATATCACTGAAATATCAGGAAAAATCATGCGTCTTTAATATAAATATCAATAGTATGCCCATCTCATTAGTAGGATGAATTAAACGTGGATGATCTCCCACAATCAGGGAAACACCACTTGGCATTTGTGTATATTGTTATGAAAATACACTACAAAACAACTTATAGTCATAAAATGACAGTAATTTCAGTATAGCAATCTTACCAGATTTTAACCGTTTAAAGTCCTACTTTTACTATTATAAACAAATTTAAAGGTCAAATATCTGTCGTGTCCACGAAAAATCTGATATCTGGCAGAGCGTAGAAAACTTAATGTGATTATCGATATTTATTATTACCTTTATTATTATTATTATCATTATTATTATCATCATTATTATTATCATTATTATTATCATCATTATTATTATCATCATTATTATTATCATCGTTGTCTCAAACTGTCGTAAGACATTTTGATCGCAAGGTACAGCAACCCTATAAGTAGACACGATTTTTTCTCCCAACCCCGCATAACAATATCTGGTGTGTTTGCCGCTATCGTTCGATCCGTTTGAATTTGTTGATTGCCCAATATTGTACCCAGTTCAACAGACCTCACCGTGTTTCTTGAGTGTTCATACTACTTGGAGCATGTGTTCGGAACTTCGAGGGCGTTACAGATCTGCTAGTAGACGTAACTATACACCCTACCGTGTCTTTTCATATTTTCGGTCTTTGCTGGAATTGGAAAAACTGGGATACTATGATCAATGGTTTTTACTTTTTCCTGGCAGATGCGGCATTTATCATATTTTTTATTATTATAACTATTATTATTATTATTATTATTATTATTATTATTATTATTATTATTGAAAGAAAATTCAATTTTTTTATTGCGAATCCTAAAAGTTATTCTGTTACTTCGAGAAATTTAAATCACTAACAAGATCATTGATATCCCATTGGAGCAAAAACGTGTGACTAGATTTCCAGGAGGCTTGAAATGTTGGGTCAGCATGGATATGTATTTCCATATTCTGTGTGTTCGTCACCGGTGGCGGCTCGTATCGGTTGTAGCGCCTTTTCGCCGCAACCAAAAATATTCCCTATTTAAATCTTTCTGGTTAGATATATGAAAGAATCACTTTTGCGTCATTCAATATTACTCTCGTATATCATAATCGCATCACAATTTTCTTGCATTAACTGTAAGTCAGGCAAGAGAATGATTCGCACATGTACTACGAGCCTGAGTGTTTACCAGGCGTTACTACAACCGCGACCGCAACGTTAAAACATATGCGATGACGAACAGGCTGTAAGCAACGGGGAGGTGGGGCTTCCTCAGGCCATTTTTACCGTCTTGTTAGTCAGCCCGTCAAAGACAAAATTGCTTACAGACTTGGCGGAACAGCTTTATGCGACAAGGTTTCCGAAACGCCCCACAGATAGCGTTAGCCTCCGGCTAACTCAGAGTTTACCTAAACATGAAATTATCCAAATTGTCACCTTAACTCAAGACAATTGTACGTCTATGTTTTTTCGTGGAGTATCCAGTTGTACTTTGGAATGAAACTTGCATTGAAACTATTTCCTTTCGTTTTAGTTATTACGAAATCAGTTTCAAACATCTAATGTGGTATTATTGACTGTTTCTTCATTGCAATAAATACTCGCATCGTCAACACAAAAATAGTACTTCCATTTCCAATCGATGAGTGCTTATCGTTTACATATAGAAGTAAGAGAGCAGGGCTTAAAATCGACACCACTTTGCTTTCTCGCCTTACTACCATTTACATATCAATGAGAAATTTTTGTAATGCTGTGGCAGAAATTGCCAATTTTGCGACAGAAATTTTGAAAATATTAAGACTTCATGTAAAGTACCCTACAAACCAAAGCATCCAATTCAAATTCGGACCTCGAGTTCGTTCAGTTCGATAATTGATTATTAATTTTGGAGAAAATTGTATGAATCGTTTAGGTGCCAGCTTTGACCACAAGACGGACAGATAGATTCACAGACAGAGTTTATCCGTCAATCGATTTTTCGGTATCAAGGACCCATAAAACGTGGATACTGAATACACGACGTGTTAGAGCACGGCATTTACTACATACAGAACCATGATTTATTCACATTTTTCGATATTAGCTTCTCATAATAGAGTGGTTGCGACAAAAAATTGCCAATTTCAGTTGGAGCGTTACATTTTTTCTTTACTACGTATGTAAATTGTAGGGAGAAAGTACAAATAGCATTGATATCAATCCAACAAATTTCAAATTATACACACTTTTGTGTGCATATACACGATAATTTGGATTTAATTCCATTTCAGTGAAGGACAATTTACGTATTGATTCAACAATCAAATTTTATATACTTCAAACTGAAGGGGGCTTATTTCGATTTGAAGAAATTTGATTGCACAAATATGTCGAGAACACTGAAGTTTATCAGAAACCTCTCCAACTCAATTTTGAGATATTGTGGCGTCTTGCCGGGGCAATAAATTACAGACGTGAACGGCTTGTAAATATTTAGTATTTATTAGAAATAAAATACTCCGACACCATAATACTATATACAATATTTACAAATAAATGACCGTTACAAGAAGGAACTTTCCCTGGTTACCACCACCGCTGGCCCGATAATTAATTACCATGTTCGGTGTGATGCACCAGTACCTTACGCGAGCATACCAGTGAGTATGCCGCACCTACCGTCACGACGTAGCACGCCGGCTTCGGTTCCCCGCCTCGGTCGCCTATGCATTACAATGCAACGCCGCGCACAACCCACACGACGCCTTACCGACGCGCCCAAGAATCAGATGAAAACAGAAGATCGAGCTAGGTCGGGATTCGCTTATATACCTTCTGGGCAGGCTGACGGAACTGCGTCAACCGCAGTGTCCGCCGACGCGTTTTCGCCGGGTCCGGGGTCTCCACGTTGCCTCCCACGAACTTCCCTTGCCCCCTAGTCTTTGTGCAGCTCAGCGTCTCTTCCGCCAGCGCTGTCCACGTGGCTGATATAGTACGTTTGTACTGACGACAGATATGACGCCACAATATGTACACATTACATTTTGATTAGTTGCTCCTCACATCAACTCATGTCATGGTACGGTATTCCTTTTTCAGTAATTTATAGTATTTCAAGTCAGTTTCCTCTGACAATTGATGAAGAGAAGCCCCTTGAAGATTAAGACATTCATGAGCTATATACATTTTAAAAATTAAATCCTTGCTCCATGTAAGTTCAGCTCTAATTGACAGTACCTTGTGAATAATGTTAATTTTTATTACCTACAAGTAGACCCGGCCTTGCTTCGCTATGGCAATGTACTGTACTTCTCACGCTTTTGATTTCGTGATTGTCAGTCAAGTCTTACTCTACGCTCTACAAACATTTTAATTGATGAAAGACTTTCTCGCGAGTATGAGTTTGTCCTTTGTCCTGATTTGGATTTGACTGTCAAGTATCCTATTGTGAAAACGTTCTCCTTCACGTTTGGACATGCATTCGCTATGACACTGTCTAGGACAAATTGATTTATTTGTCAAAGATAACTTTCAAGTAATAATTCCAGCCGATATTTCACAATCACAGAGGCAGGATATGCAGTCAAGACGCGCTTAATACTTGAGGGTGCGGCAGGTTGCGTAGAGCTTCGGTTCAGGGGCACTTGGGTCAGCATAAATGCACAAATCATCAACGCACGTCTATGTGCGACAGATATATGAACATTCACATTGCACTCCTATTGTATATTCTCAGCGCAAATGCAAGCAATACGTTGACACAGTTTTATTGCAATCGGATGAACGGTCGGATGAACGGCAGCGCATAAAATACGAACAAACATTGATTTTTATATATTATATACTTGATTTCATTTGGTCCCCTTTGAATCAATTGGATGCCCACCAGAGTCTAGATTTCAGTTCACGCTCGTTTTTATACAAATTCGGGGATGGCTTAATATGATATTAATACCATATTTGTTTTTCTTTACATTATTAACCGCAAGGGAAACATGTAGTACACTTACATCTAAGACGAAGCTAAGATTTGAGCTATTATTCACTTATGGAAATTTTGATTGCAGAAACCATATGCCTGTCAAGTTGCCGGCTGCATGAAGCGCTATACTGATCCAAGTTCATTACGTAAGCATGTGAAAAATCATACAATTGTAAAGGATCAGCAACAAATTCGGTATAGAGTAAGTATTCTATCGTTGTTAATGCATTTTAATAGAATAAAGACTCATAAAAAATGTATGTTTGATTAATAAATTCATCTACTGGATTTAAAATAACTGCATATTAAAAATTTCTCTTGTTTTCAGAATCGTGAAGATCATATTGATTTAATATCTAGTTCTAATTCAGGAACACAGTCTCTGATGTCATTGCCAGATCAAATAACGTCATCTTTAAAAGGTATATACAATGGTCTTAACTCATGACTACCCTCCATTAATTTTATGGTCATTTGTTTTCATTAGGAAACAGCTTTGATGAGTTGAATAACCTATAGAAATAATTGTTCTCAAATGTTTTATCTCATTTTTTTTTTCTTTTTGGTAGTTCCAGATATTGGGTCAGATATCCATCATAAAGAGTCTTTAAATAATGTGATGGCGTCACATCCCATGAAAATGACTTTTAAAAGTGAAGTTATGTGCGAAAGTGCATATTCTGAATTACCTCCAATTTCAAATGATTTCAATGCAGATCATATGTTTCATCTCGGGATTGACGTTGCATGTGACTTTCCTGACTTACCTGATGTCTCAGTAGATGAAATGTCAGAATACATTCCACTTGACTCAATATACTGCCTGTTCGGGGAAAGCAAAGGTAAGGTGTGTTCTCACGAGGTGTCTATACGCTGCATGTCACTGTATACTGGTTTTTGGTCAATTTAAAAAACATTATATTTTTCAAAGCTGCGATCTCACCTATCATAGCTCCATTACAGTTGTCAAAAAATACCATTCTTTGAAGAAGTTGACATACATATACTCGTATTTTAAAGTACATTATACATCTTAGATTGTTACACATCATGAATATTCTTTTTGTGCGTGCGCGACACACACACACACAATTTTGTGTGTGTATGTGTGTGTGTGTGTGTGTGTGAGAGAGAGAGAGAGAGAGAGACAGACAGACAGACAGAAAGAGAAACAGAGAAAAAAGTGAGCGTGTACGTGCGTACGTGTGTGCGAGTGCGGGCGTGTCCACATAGAATAACTGAGGCACGGATTAAATTATCAGATTTGTGGGAAATTTTACTACTTCGCACTCCAAGCGAATAAAGGGTTAAAAATGACAATATGTTATTATTTTCGAAAGCAACTGCTAATGAAAGTAATGTCTTTCTCTTTCATTGTCAGAAAACTGTCCCTTTTCCATTAATAATTTTGGGTTCTTTGTAGAATATATGTGATACATTTTTTGTTATTGTTAATGGGAAATTGACGTTATGACCAAAAATGTACTTAGAAAATGTTTCTGTGATAAAAAAGTTTGATGTCAACAGTCAATATTTTTTTTGTTACGAATGCTATACCTTTAGGGTGATTTTTATCTTCTTATTTGTTGTGTGTGTATGAGGGAGAGAGAGAGAGAGGGAGAAAGAGAGGGAGAGAGAGAGGGAGAGAGGAAGAGAGGGAGAGAGAGAGAGATGAAGAGAGAGTAATTATTTTTTTTTAATTTTACAGGTAATGAAGAAAACTCTATACACGAACAACTAGATCTACCAGAGAACATACAGCAGCACTTCCTGGAATTGGCAAACCTTGGTAATTCACCTAATAATTCTCTCGCAGATATTGCCGACCAGGAAGCGTGTTTGTGAACGAAGTGAATTACGTGTTGAAAATTGCAATATTGAATTTTTTTCAATGTTTTCTAGCTGCACTGATAAGATTTCTCAGCTCTTGAACTATTCTGATAATAGTATCTTTGTCTTTATTTATGAAATGACATCCTAACGGGAATCCCTAAATATAACAGTGAAAAATGTAATTTGAATTGCCACTAGCGTTGTTGGTGACCAATCAATGTGAACGATTGTCTGCTGGGAGGACTGTTTGGGATTCAAAGCCAGAAATAAAGGCACCGCGACTATTCAAGGCACATACAGTATTTAATTTGTTAAGAGTTTTAAGACTAGAATAACTACTAAATGTTATCCAAAAGTTTCCGAAATTTGTTATCTCCGCAAGTGAGAGTAAATATAGCCAAGGTTGAAGATACATTCTTTTTTTCTTAATTTACAACCTCAATAATGCACCAAGTGATTTCGATAAAAGTTAATCTTTAGTGTGAGAACAGTTTTCACTGTCACATTCACTTATGATTACAATTTCGTAATGACAAACCTGGGGGAACAGCTTGTTATCACATGTGAAGCTCATTTTGTAACTGTAATATTTCGTAGAAACGTAATAAATCATTAGCGGAATTATTTTCTAATAACGCTTTAGGAGAGTCTTGTATGAATAGTTGCATCATTAAATTCATGTTGAGATTTGTTTCTTCGGTGCTGGCGGTATTCTCTACAAGGCATTCGAACTGAATGTTTAGTTCGATCAATGTCTGACGTCCTATGGCGAGATAGGAACTCAGAGGAAACGAACATGAAAATGCAACAAAATGGGCTGCATCCTTTGCTTCTTTCACACGATATTACATTCCGCTTCCATGATATACATTGTGTCGTATATTCACAACCTTGCACACTAGCGAAATTCTGTTTCCTGGGTGATACACGAACTATTGTTAATGACATATCTGGAATGCGATTAGTTCTAAACAATGTTCAGCAAAAAGTCCAGAACACATACTGGCATTCATTTAGTGCTAAAAATAATTTATGTGAAACGAGCGTTAGAGTAGCATATATTTGCTAGGTTTTATTTGAAGTTACTATAGTAAAATGAAACCAGATATGATATGATTGTATTTATTATTATTATATTTCGGGGAATTTTGGATACCACCTTGTAATATGCTAGTCGCAATATTATCACAAAACTCCTTTATTGTTTCAGCCATTCTGGCTGTTGAATTGTTATAACTTGAACAATGAGGAAATATTGTTCTTGAAATATTAGAAGGATAAATAAGAATATGATGCACAAAAGGAAGAGAATGGTGTGTAGAATTATTGTTTTTGTGCGATTAATAATAGGAATATTTAACTGACACATCCTTTACTTTGTTAATCCCAATCTAAGGGGGGAAATGCGTTAGTATTGTTATTGTCGAATGACAACTTTGTTTTAAGGGACCAATTAAACATTCTGATTCGCTTAGAAGTACAAAAAAGAATTTGACTTCATGTTTTGTGAGTATTGTTGAATATATTTCTGTTTTCTAAATTATATGGAAATGAATTCCTGTAATAAATTATTCAAAACTTATTACAAATGATTCAAATTATCTGATCTCATTACTGATTACTATTGAACGATGTTAAGATCAAACTACGCAAAAATTGAGTGAGGACTTTTTGGATATTCTTTCTTTTCAATTGAAAAGATACATCCTTACTGTTTTTCTCTGTGAAATGTATATTATTATTCATGATCTCTTCAAGAATGTTTAGAATAGTATGCTACTTTATATAATAGATCAAAAGTATACGTGTTTGAAGATGATTTGATTTATATTTAATTTTAAGTGAACATTGATGTGACCATATTACATGAGTATTATATAAAATAATCAACCAGTCAATTTGTGTGTTATAAATTGTAAATATGTACATTATATAGTTTGATATAATAAAATTGATATTTCTATTATTACAATATATTGTTATTAATATTCTTATTATGTAACGCAACAAACTCGGTAACGTAATGAAATATAACCATTGTTGATTTTTGGTTATGATTACCAGTGATGATTGAATTTATAGAAGTTTTATCATCTCCTTTCTTTTCATAGAAAAATTCAAAATGCAATGAAGAAATAGCAACTAATTGTCTTTGAGAATTTATAGGCAATACATCGCCGACCTGGGTGATCGAATTGGCAAGAGAGTGTGCCGACTCATTGCCTCAGAAACGTCGGGGGATTGAGTCCCGTCGTGGGCATGGTTGGTTGCTCCTTGTCTATCACGTATGTGTGTTGTCGCGGATAGCCTTGTGAGTCGGTTGACCAAGAGATCGAGGAGCCTACAGGTATAACAGTGTCTAATGTAAATGTTAATATGTGTCCCCATGAGGAACATAGTGGGTATCCGGCGTGGAATAGCCGAAATCGGCATTCCCTGAAGCTGGATAAAGTCCCCGGAGGAGAAGAGCACGTTTCCCGTGTCCACCTTGCACGCCTCTTCAGGTATCAATAACGGATTCAATAAAATAGATAGCAAACGTTAGAACACAATTAATGTTAATAATTATTATACTAATAAGATAAAGTTTTCGGAATAACATGCTAGTAATAAGCACAATATTGTACAAATCAGGGAGAGGAACTTACCATGAATATATTTGTGTTTAATTTAATTTAAAAAAAAATAAAAAATAAAAATAAAACATCCGAGCTAAACAAACCATAAATTAATAAATATATACCTGAAGTAAATTATGATCTAAGAGCCCTTTTTTAAATTTTTGAGATAATAATGTTGTTTTTTTCCTCGAAAACACCTTCTTAAATCATAAATACTTCATATTAAAAAATGTTTAAATTAAGCCTAAACACAAATTGTACAGATTGTAGAGATATCTTTTTTAAATCTCATTCCATTTTAGAGTCATTAGTTTTTTAATCTTACAATAAAAACCGATCAATGTCCACAGTATCAAATGTAAATATTGATCTAAGTGGGACAGGGTTAGCATAGTAGTCAAAGTGCCAAAAATGTGTTTATAATAAAGGAGGGTTTGTTTTGAAAATTTGACACACTGTTACTTTACGCAAAAAAATCAGGTAAAGCAGCTCCAAAACAGAGCAAGAATAAAGCTAAAAACACAACAACGCTGTTTGCATGCACATAGCACTTAGATCATAATTCACTATTTGCTGCAAGGTACATACAGCTTACGCATTCTGTTGGCAATGATTTCAACTACTACACGCAGGTTTGGTACTTAGATCAGAAAACACTTCACGTAGCTTGGCCCATAGACCATAATTCAGTTATACATCGTAAATTGAAAACAATTGCACATAAATCAAAATTTACTTCAGGTCTTCGTTTAGATTATTTTCCTATTGTTTATTAAAGGCCTGTGTTCATGCCATTACACAAGGAATTATCATTCAACGCTTTATTAGAATATTTTCGGATATTTTCAAAACAGGAAAAGCTAAACCATTTTTTACAAAACAAGGCAACACGAAACGAAATTCAAAATTCTGAGTCAATTTGTCTTTTGACAGTTCTTTATGTTAGAGTAGCTTGTCTATGTAAGAGTGGAAGCGTATAAGGAAATACGTGCAGTTTCCAGACTGCCAAAATGGGTTTAAGAAATCAAAATGTTCAGACACGTTCTATATTTTCTTTCCTTAAAGCTGTTATTTCCTCATTGAATCAAAATGAAGCTTCTACTATCAAATTTTTCAACCGTTTGTCAAATTGTCAATGTTTTTTTAATTAACTTAATATGTAAATCGTGGTATTGCTGTAGATTGTATATTTTTGCATCATAAACACAGATATCATAGAGAAGAAGTACCGTACTGGCAGGAGAGTCCATCTCATCTCTCCGATTTTTTTTCAATTGAATCTTGGGGTCCTGCAGGGTTCGATGTCTTGTTTTCAACACTCTTCAAACAATGTGGCCTCGTCGAGGACAGTTTTCTCTGTCGATGTCTCAAATTTATTTTGCAAAATAGAGACGTTAAGTAGCACGATGTGAAGTGTTCAACTTGGCTACTTGGCAATTTGGCAAATAGCAAGTTTGAATTCAGCTGCGTCCCTAGGAGAATTCTAACGACCAGTTACGCTAATCAGTAGTTTTCTGTGGTTTCTCTTAACAATATCAGACAAATACTGCTTTAACAAAGGGGTCACAGACCGCGCGCTATCATGTAAGCATCCTCAACCTTGTCCTCTTCTCTTTCCTTCAACATGCACTTGCACTGACATGCATTATTCTACCATACATGTCGAGATTCCAGTCGGTATCTTAGAACTTGAACCGACTGGGACGATCCTCCGCTGATGGAGTCACCTGGAGGGGAACCACCCGCAAACCGACGTGTAGGTCAGGCGTTCTTGGTAAGGTGACCAGACGTCCAGAATTGTCCGGAACAATCCCTTATTTTCGATCCCTGCCCAGGGTTTTTATTTGCAGGAAAACGGGCGCTGAAATGCCTTCTTTTTTTGTGACAATGATTTGTAAGTGTAAAATGCCGTCAACATATTAAATTTATCATAATATATTCCATTTTCTTCACATTAGTTTTTAAAAACGTAAGTGCGTCAGGATATTGTACTCAAGTGCCATATAAAGTGTGTTTAGAGCGTCGGTTCTGGTTTCTAGGGTGAGAAAATGCAGCTCTGGAGTCATTTCAACGTGTATATGCTCTATTGCTAACGATATCGTTATGGAGAAATTCAATAATCTGATCCTTCGGCTTCTGAGAGTTTCTGTGCCACTTTCTATCCAATTTTTAATTGAGAAACACTGACCTACTTCACAATTAATGAAAGTGAAAATTAAACAAATGTGTATTTTTACTTTCTCGCGCTTAAAAACGACCTCTTAAGGAGAGAAAATTATGAAATGCTGCCCGAAAAAACGGCGAATTTTCGGCAGAAAAACTTTTATTATAGGGCCGTGGTAACGCAAACTTGGATAAATCCAGTTTCTAAATAAAAAAAAATCCTCT